TAAAGGCTTAATCTGATGATTGATTATTAAAATTAATGTGACGCCTACTCTCATATATCTTTGAGCATCTTTCATCTCTCCCAATGCTACGTGACACCTACTCATGTAATTAATCTATATTTTTCTCGCATGCTTAATACAAATCGAGGTTAGTCATAATCAAAGAAAAGATTGTAAGGAAAAGGAGCCGTTATATTTCGAAATTTTAAACTTTGGAAGGATGGAAGACACAAAAGCACCTCCTTGACAGCTAGCTAGAAGCACAATGTGATGATGTGGTTCCCTCAATGAACCCATTTTCTTTAAATTGGAAATCAAAAAGGAAAATTTCCTTTAGTTTTAACAAAATTTAAGTAGCTTTCCTTGGTTTTATATCTTTTTGGTATCACTAGTCATCTAATAATATCAATACAACAAGGTACTTTACTTAATATACTTAAGGATAACAGTTTGACACGAGTCTAAAAAATTATAAGATAAATTATCATTAATCAATTATACATTACAATTGACATGACACAACAATTATGTTATAGGCTATTTCAATATCACGCCATCTTTTGCAAATTGTTGTGTGACCAACAAATTAAGCTAGTTAGAGACTGAGGGATTGAAAATTTTTGAGAATTTATGAAAGGAATGGATTGAAAGGTTTTTTTTCTTTCTTTTTTTATTGATGAGAATAGAAAACATTAATTAAACAAGGGAAGTATAAGAAATGGTTTGATATACAATTACAATGCAACTATTCAAGTCATCAGTTGGCACAAATGCCATGAACAAAAACAAGAACAACAAAAGTTTCTTCATCAGAGACAACATACTTGTCAAATATATCAGTCACTCTATTAGCTTTTTGAAAGATATGTATGAGAGAGAAGTCCTCAAGCTGTCAGATGCATTGAAAGTTGAAACTAGAGAGTAGGTATTTTGCATTTTAGAAGTACCAAATCCAATCGAGATTCCTACCTACATGTAAAGAACTAACTTCGAATCAATTTCTTGTTTTGGTTTGAACTTTGAATTAACTTACAAGAATTTGGTAATTTCCATGAATTCGGCGGCACTTTCTCGAAAAGACCAAGCTTTGGTCGTTGTGGAATGTTTCCAACTCATGAGAATAATATAATGGTTAGGTACACATCAAGGGGACTAAACTGCAAGCTTATGTATGAATCATTCTAGGCTGTCTGCCCGTTGGTTTTACCTGGTGAGCTTTAAATGTAGGTCCAATGCAAAAGTTTGGTATAAAGACCAAGAAACGCGGGATAAAGACATTTGATTCATCCCTCTATATTATATATCAATATTCTTCTTCTTCTTTTTTTTAAGGAAAAATATATACTCTCCTTTCTCTTTTCTTTAATCCAATAGCAAGATACAAACAAAAATATAACTCAAGAACTTAGCTAATGTTTGATTTTATTAACTGTTTTCACATAGAATGCACCTGTGATTTGGAACTCATTACTTATAGACACTTCACTCTCATCCCTTCATTTTCACGTATTTTTTTGTTTCGATTTTAAATTTTTTTTTTTCTTTAAAAAAATTATTATTAAATTATTTAAGTTATCGGCAATAGTGACTCTTCTTTTAAAAAACAACCATTCATTTGAAACAGAGGAAATGCCGTTGAATTTTTGTGTGGAGTTTGACAGTGGACTGTATTGTCATGGGCTAATCTTTGGAGGCTTTTCTGATGGGCTCGTCAGTTCAATTCAATCTTTGATAAGTTCCCTCTTTTTAGAGTAGTATATATATATATATATTTGTTTTTTTAGGCCCAAACCCAAATAATTTACCGGTCTCTAACCCGCCCACATTCGACCGAGGATGGTTGGTAAAAGTGGGGCCCTCATCAACTCTAAGCATATGTCATCTGCGACCAACACCCGTACCAGTAACAGTCAAAAGTTTGATGATTGGAT